ACAGGAACGCGCCGACGGCAGTATCGCGCTATGTGGCCAGGTAGCCCACAGGCAAAGCATATTGGGCGATTGTCGAGTGTACGCCATTGTCCACTACTCTGGACGGACCTTGACTGAGCGAACCGAGGAGTGGGTCGGAGCGGCACGGCTGAGGGAAGCGACGTAAAAGTCTGAAGAGGTGGTCGAGCCGCTACTTCAGCATAGCTTAGAAGTGCATTTACCTCGGCACAGGCAACAGGGCTCGGCAAGGGTGAAGTGTCACGGGCAGTTGGCAGAGCCACGCAAACTTGCTCCTGGATGACCTGGCGAATGTTTGCTGGCAGAGGTGACGCTGGTTGGCCGGCTGTTGATAGCAGCGATAGCTGACGAGCGACCTCAGCACGAACAAACTCCTTAATCTGCGATAGCAGCGACTGAAGGTCAGATGTGGTGGTCAGGCTGGAGAGGGTGTCATCCGGGACGTCAGGGCGTCGAGTGAGAAGACGCTGTCGTCGCAGCTCGTCGAAACTCTGACACATCTCAATGACCTCAGAGACAGTGACAGGGTTCTTGGAGAGCAGCATTTGAAAGGCGTCGTCGGAAATGCCTTTCATGATATGTCGCACCTTGTCAGTTTCGGCCATCGACCGGTCGACACGCCGGCAGAGGTCAAGGATGTCCTCTATGTAGCTGGTGAATGTCTCACCAGTTTGTTGGGACCGGCTTCGTAGGCGTTGTTCTGCGCGAAGTTTGCGCACACCAGGGCGTCCAAAAACATCTGCGATGCAGGTTTTGAAGGTAGTCCAGGTGGGGATATCCGCCTCATGGTTTCTGTACCACAGCTTGGCAACATCCGTTAAAAAGAACATCACGGTGCCAAGCTTTGTGGGATCGTCCCATTTGTTAGTAGCGCTGGCTCGTTCATACGATTCCAGCCAATCCTCAACGTCTTTCTCGTCGGTGCCGCTGAAGATGTCGGGTTCTCGCAAGAGCTGTGCACCGGGACAGCTCCTGCGTGGCGAAGCCGGTGGGGGTGTGAAGACAGCGTCGTCAGGCATGACGGACGGCAGCTTTCGGCTACGCAGTTCCAGGACTAGCAACATGGGTTTTTCCTAATACAGCCCCTTAATTGCACGTGGTGGAAAAAAAAAGCATGTGCATTAAGTAGAACAATAAAAGGCATTAGCGTTAACCATCAAGCCTCTATTTTTGCTACAATAGTTTTTTCCAATCATTTAGCTTGGGTGCACTGCCCAACTGATTGTGGCAGAGTGTTCTAGTCTCTCATTGCTCAAGGTATACGAACGACTTTGCAGTGCTTCGTTATGTAGTTGAGGTAAAACAAACGTAAAATTATACCATTTTGTTAATAATAACAATAATAATAATAATAATAATAATAATAATAATAATAATAATAATAATAAAGCTTATTCAATATCGGCAATAATAATTTACAAAAAATCAGTGTTCAAGATTGCTAATTCTCAATGAGCTTCAAAGTTAAAACTGCCGGGGGGAGGGGGGGGCTCCTAATCAAGATGTGAACAAAATAGAAGATATACCTAATTCAGTGGTTACAGTGTCTTCGGTGATAAAGAAAATAAACGGTGCGAAAATAAGCACAAAATCAAAAACACCTATATGCTGACCAGACCACAAAAAACAATCAAAAATTACACACAACAGAAAAGCAATTTAATTAGTACTAAACAAAAGGACGTTGCTAGGATGAAGGCAGTTGTTGTAAAAAGTATTTCTTTACTTGGTTTTTGAATGCGCGTTTCGTGCTTGATGATTCAATGATTTAAGAAAGGGAATTCAATAGTCTGATTCCCATAAACGTGATGGTGAACTTGCCGTAGTTCTTGCGAACCTTACTCTCTTGGAAAAACAGTGCGTAATCAGTTAGTAAACGGGTATGTTTACTAGTTTCCGAAGTTTGTTACTATCTTCGCGGCGTACTTTTACTAGCTAGCAGCTAGTACAGTTTGTAACTTTAGCCATTACGAAGCAGGAAAGCTTTCTTAGCGCTTTTAACCAAGCAACTACCAAGTCACCAATGTTACCAAATCTACGAAATCTTTCGTAGATGCCGCAGTACATTTTGCCGTAATGGCAACATCATGAGAAAAACTTAGGCAAGTTTTATTTTATTGTATACCTAGAACTAGAAGTTTCCTGCTACTTAATGGCAAACATATAAGCAAATAGAAGGAGACATAATGATGCGTAGAAAACAACAATTATCTTATAAATTTTGTGACAGCTAACCATGCGGTACACAGTGTGTGATCCTAAGGCAGGGTATATATAGCTTTCAAGCTGGTGCTACAGTAGAAACCTGCTATATCCAAGTCTTGAAAATTTACTTGTTCCTGCGTTTGCGTGCGTGTTCTCGTGATCCATTCATATGAGCTCTCATACTCATATGAGCATATAATCATATCAGTTAGTGGACTCATATTAGCATATAATATGCTCAAATGAGCATATCAAATATCAAATGATGAGCATCATACTATGTATGATCAACATGGGAATCCGATTTGATCATGTGATAATGTGGCCAGCTCTCTTTAAGTATGTTGCTGTAGTTTAACCACAGTATAGTTGAATGACGTTGTTACAAGCCAATATTTATTTACAAGGGCTATGCCGATTCGTTTTTTTTTATCCTGTACTTGTGTAATAGAACGATTTTGATGTGGCAACGCACACACACATCAAACAAAAAAGGCGTAAACCTCTATTTGGGGGGGGGGGGGGTTACTAACAATTTAGTAATGAACTAACCCCTCGAGTCTGCACTATTTACTTACGAACAAGGAAGTAAATTCCACAAACCTGCATTTTACTACCTTACTTTACTAAGAGGCTGGCGCTTTATGTGAGAAGTGAATGTTTAGTATTTAGTTAGTGAATACCCCAACCTTTTTTTAAGGGTTTAGGCAGAAGATGATTATCTAGCTCAGAAAACTTGGTAACGTTGTTATTTACAAGGTCATTTACGATAATGCCATCAGAATGTGTAATACCACAAAAAAGCCTATAAATAACAATAGATACCTTAAGATGAGATAGTTGAAGATGACGTATACTTAAATTTCGATAAAGTGGTTTTGCATTGGTTAAGCAATGACAATGTCATGAGACGAAGTGCTTTATATTGCATGCATTGAAGTTGGTTGAGGTGGGTAAAAGACGTGTTGTCCAAGGCTGATAAGCAATATTGTAGATGACTGTGATTATGTGCGTGATACAGGGAATGGATAATATGTGGCTGAAAACATGTACGAGTTTTGATTATGGCACGTATTCCGTAAGTTATCTTGCGAATAAGTGATTGCGCATGAAGGTTTAACTTCATATGCCTGTCTAAGATTGCCCCAAAAGCTTTGTGCGATCAGACATTTCTATTCTATTATCATCCAAACGAAGAGATATAGCATTTGAAAGTACTGACAGTATTGTTAGGTTGGTTATTCGAAAAGTTAGCATAGAAATTTAAATGGCGCTACTAGCGTCACTGTGACTCGGAGCAGTGGTAGCTTAAGCAGATTCAACATATTGGTTACCAAATAAGTTCATGATTATTTAGACAGAATAAGCCGTGTAGCCCTTTGTTGTGCCTTTCTGAATCCGCTAATCAGACCAACATCGCAAAATATGCGTCTATTAACGCTGTGTATGGTTAGTAAATTAAAATTACTTTGATTCATTCGAGTAGAGTATGGACATTCCTTAATGACTATGTGGGGTTTAACGTCCCAAATTCTCCATATGAATATGAGAAACGCCGTAGTGAAGGGCTCCTGAAATGAGGACCACTTGGGGTTCTTTAACGTGCACCCTGATGCGAGCCCACGGGCCTACAGCATTTTCGCCTCCATCGAAAATGCAGCCGCCACTGCCAAGATTAGATCTCGCGACCTGCGGGTCTACAGATGAGTACCTTAGCCACTCAAAGACAGCAGTGGTGCAGAGTACAGACATCCACACAGTATCGCAGGAAACGTTGCGCTCATGACGCTAGGCATACGCTATCGAGCTGCCCTCCTTTTTACAGTTCGATGATCAGCGAAACACTATACGCCAAGAAGTCAAAGAGCTTATATCTGTTCAGCAGAGTGCTGGTTTGCCAAGCCAGTTTTGTATGAGTCTGCTCGACATGGTCCCCAAGTCGTGGGTTACCGGTGGCTCTCAGCTGCGACGTTACTTGCAATATCTGCTTACGGCTTCAAAAACATTATGAGACTTCAAACACAAAGGTATAATTTTTGTTGCAAGAAGATACACATGCTCAGGAGAATACTTGCACAATGTTAAAGACTATGACCCAGCGGTGACCGAAAATGCACACAATAAAATGTTTCTGGCCTCTTTGCGGCATCACTCTCCAATGACCCACGCGCGAGAGCTCTTTATCTTGCGCTACCATATAAATTTCGAAACTGCAACTAATATATACGGTATATTGCATTGGGCGCTAGGTGGCGTGATTGCTACTAAAAAACAGAGTGAAGACACGTTCCCACATTGTGTCGCCTGTAAAATTTTCTCGCAGTTTCTTGAAATACTTGTCGTAGAGGAGGCACTGGTTAGACTACGTGTAGAAGTTTTCCTTCTTGCTCTAAAGATTTTCAGTGCACCTAGAGGTGCTCGTGTCTTTACGGGCGCAAGAGAAAGCGCAGCAACAAGTAACGAAATGAACATATAACAGATACCGACTTCGTCTGTCTCTTGCGGCAAGCGTAGTTTCGGCTTAGTTTCTCTACCTATCTCTTCGTGAGATCCTTCTTCTATTCTTTTCGCTGCACTGGATGCCAATAATGCATTGTTTTTGTTAGGAAAACCCGGTGCCTGAAGCACAGGTGTTCAAAATACGTTTGTGAAAATAACTCGCAGGTAAACTATAGATGATTGATGTATACTCCTTGGCACATTTATGCTCTCCTTAAAGGAAGTGATATCCAGCGAACTAAGTGAAATGTTCCTCTTATTACCAGTGTAATACTTACCAGGGTGTGGCTGGTAGCACCGTGAATGAGAACGGGCGTATTCGTCGTACGCCTTGCAAAAGTTTTCTGGCAGGTTGTCATCCACCAACAGGATTCTGGGGCAAAAATGCATGACGTTAGCCAAACACAAGGACGCGTGAACTGATTCTTGCATTATATTGGCATACCACTTTTCCAATTTTCGTTATCGCCCCATGACACTTGTAAGGGCTGCCTTGTGCGAACCAAGCCTGTTCACTAAGAATCATCAAGGGGATTCTAGAACCTTAAGGGCACAACGCGAACATCACAGATCCATCTCGAACTTACGTTTTCGATAGCCATAACGCTAGAATATTCGACGGCAGATGTACAGATGCCAACGCCCATCACCGCTTTTCAGTTTTATTGACGACCGACACTCTGTTCAGCGCTGTCAATGCCAGTGAGTATCGCTGCTGCCTACCCGGTCAGAAGTTAGTGTAACAAAATGTTTTTTTTTTCTTTGACACGCCGACTGTTCCCTTCGTTGACGTCACGACCACGAGAAAATATGTGGCTTGTGGGCAACACCACTGACCTGCGTATAGTCTTGAATCCATAGCACGTGTTGGTAAGGCCCATCTGCAGGTCGCTGAGCTTCCTGCGGAAGGCACCAAGTTGCAATGTTTACTAACATTACCACGTCTCAGCCTTTTTATAGATGTGTAGCGTGCTCACAAAGATTTATGAGTGACAACATGTAATCGGCTTATTTTCCAGCACTCACAATTCCCACAACAGCGTTCACAAATGTTACTGAACACAATTTTCGCATCTATTTATTTCATACAGTTACACTAAAATCAATAATTACTGGTTATAAATCCACTTTCGCTAGACTTGCTGAAGATCATGTGAAGACGAACTGTAACAGTCTTGGCAGAGAAATAATGAAAAAAATACTGGTTTTTTGCGGACGTGCTCACACTAGGAAATGGCTTTGCACACCACTGCAAAAACAAAAAGAAGGCACCTTCGCACTTGTTGTTCAGGCCTGAAGTAAGTGCGAATCTTTGTTTCTCTTCTTTTTCTTCTCGCGTTTTTTTACAGTTCTTTTTTGTATCGGTTTCATTCAACATTTAAATTTTTCTTCCTATTTTTTCCTTTTCTTTCTCACTTTTTATTTATCACTTGCTTCCTCCTTTTCTTTTATTATACGCGGGCTTGGCTATCTCACGCGAAGTGACGACAGTATACGACAGCTCGGGCCCATGAAGTGCTAGGTATCTAATACCATCATAAATTGAGGCGCTCGAAAAACAACAGCAAGGAGACTCCTCATCCATGGCGGGAGCACTTGCTCAATACGCTACTGATGGCTACGCTGTAACTGGTTTTCTCTGCGGTATGCCAAGCGACTGCGCCAGCATACGATCACAGCTTATGAGAGAATACGACAGCCTGGGTCCCTAAGGTGTTCCAAACTTGAGCAATATTCGTAGAAGGTCCACGCTTTCTAGACAATATTAGCAATCGCGTTTCTGAGATAATTATCCAGTGTACCGAGAGTACTGGATGTGTGCTCGCGCATGACATCACTCTCACATTTACGGCTGCGTTCGTTGAACGACCGTCCAGGTAGGACGCCCCCGGTACAGAACTTACTAATTCATCTCACCCATTACACAAAGGTCCACGTGCTTGAGCCCAGAAAAGACACAATGTTATCAAAAACTCATTGACTACGCATATTACCGTAGCCGCTACAACACCGCGACGTTTACTGTAAAAAATGCAACTTCCTTTTAATCAGTATACCACGTGAGAACAAAGCAATTTAAGTATAGATTGTTTAGTGGTACTTCTTTCTGGGTTGTTGGCTATCACCAGATGCACTATAATGCAAGCCACGTGGGATGCACGCAATGTATTCGCTTTCAAACCACTGCTTCGGTGTCATTGTGCTAGCCTGCACTGCTATATGAGCAGCGGAAGTCGTCACTGCAATGCTTTCTTCTTGTGTCCATGTTTGTATGCCCTGACTCTTGTGGAATATGTCGCCAACAGTGTGGAGAGTGTATTCTCGGAGACAGTGAAGTCGCTTCGTGAAAGGCCATAATGACCAACCTGCAGCTAAACACACTGCAGTACACTCTGGAGAGCGAGTGCGTGTCGATAGAGAACAGCTGCAGGACCGTGTCCGTGGCCGTCGGCGCTTTGCTGCCCGTGTCGACCATGTACGATTCGGAGTCGACGGTCTCGCCTGCCTTCCTCAGCTTGCTCGCCTTGAACCTGTGTAGAAAGTTGCCAAAATGCGGTGAGATACTGCCGGAAATGTAGTTGCGTTCCTAAGTAAGCGAGAGAATGACACATGAGTACTATTCGCTTCAAATGGTGCAAGAAACAATAGAGATAATATATTGCCCACCCTCCTGACATCACCTTCGACAGGCGCGCAGCAGCCTGTTTGGCAATACAGCTCATGTCAATGGTGATGAGAATAGTTTAGATTTTAGGCAAATGCTCATTTTATTCCTTGTGCCCCTATCGCCACCCTTTATATGTGAGCACAAATTGGAGATTGAGGACTTTTATAATGTTTTGTATTGTCTTCAAATTTCTATTTTCGCACGAATTCAAAATCAAGGACTTTTAAATGTATAATAGTGCCTATAAACAGGATGACTCAGCTATGTTGCACTCTCAGCGCAGTTGTGTCATGAACAAAAACATTTCTTGATTTCCTGTTGCAGACACGGGCGGCTAACGTGTTCGCACTTCAAACTATTTTGCACTTATGTGAACATTTATTGTGCCTATATTTCAAACTTAATATGCGTAAAGCATTCGTGGCTGCCTATTTTCGGCGCCTTAACGTGCTTTTTAATGCCTTAAAATTCCACCTTTGACGATGAGTACACAGCACGCTGTACCGTAGCTAACGCTTGCCGCTGTTTGCGTTTCATTTCAAGCCAATAGTACACTACTATCACAGCAATGTACTGCTACAGCGAGGACTAGCTTGAAAAATCTAATGGTGAGACCAAGCAATTCAATGCGGCCGGCTTCTACGAGGCTTTACACTTCTTATCGTTTTTAGCGAACATATGTTCGTGATTAAAACTTCGTAGTATATACTTTTTATTTCCTCGTATTCATCAACAGTGTCATGTTTTTCAAGTTCACAAAGTTTTCTTCGGAAACCTAGTCTAGTTACCATAACGTTGCCGCAGTAAACTTTACGAGATGAACGCTGCATTTAAGCAACGTAAGACTTGTGGCGTAAACTGACAGCGAAGAGCAAAAAAAAAAGAAAAAAAATACGAGAGCGGACAAAATAGGAAGCGAGGCATAGGAGGAGAAGGGTTCTGTCCTGTCTTCTTGCGCTTCTTTTGAAAGACGATAGCCTTTCTGGAGGCATATATTTGAACGCAGAAATTTTGGTTTGTCGTCTTGTCTGTCTGTCACACGCTTAAGGCACCTGGTCAAGTTGTAACCACTTCCGCAGTGCCCAGCCATCTTGATCTCATGGCTGCGTTCATATTTGTGAACATTGTCAATCAAAAATCGAATATTTTGCATATTTGAGGCGCAACATGAATACGCGTTGTTGTGTTCCTTTACTAGAAGACGCATAGATGCGTAATTCTAAAGGACAAAATGTTTTTTTTTACGCTATGCGCGTAAGTTCAACGCTATGCGCGAAAAAGTGTTCTGCCAACGACACGATGCAGCCACCTGCTAGTGGCCCTGTACAAGATCCTGTTTCCCCACATTACTGTCAGACGATGTTTATATCTCACGCAGCACCTCCAGGCAGAAGTCTATAGTCTTTCGACGACATTTGAAGCGAAGTGTGGAGATACGCAGCCAATGTTTCCTTGTTTACAGTTTACTGTCCTGACAGAGATATTTTAGAGTAAAACTATCTCTTCTGATTGAAAGGTCTTTGTGCTGGCCTCCTGCTTTGTCTTCCAGCTTTAAATGAGAGAGCCTTTAGCGAAAGAGAAAATAAGACATGAACACAAGCAACAAACAATCTGGTGGCAACCCTAACTCTCCACTTAAGGGCACTCGCACATTTGGCGTGTATGTGCCCCGGTGTATTCCGTGAATTAGCTGCGTTTTTCACGCCAAGAATATTCCAAGAATATTCATTCATTATCCCAATATAGTTCATTCTTCCTTACTTTAAACGTAGTGTTGCTCAGATGTGATAAAGTTTCTATAAAACTTAACTTAAGCCAGTGGTATACAATGCTAAAACGGCACGGGGAAATGCCGACCGCTGGTTTGCGACCATCTCTTGCACTTTCAGCTAGCACGTACTTCAAATTGCAAATATGTCCATCACATCTGTAACAGTTTTGCTTGAGCTGCTGCTTGACGCCACGCCGTGGACAACCCATTCGCAGAACAAGGGGACCTGCAACACTTTTGAACATGGCCAGAAAACGCTGCCGATTGGTAGTAGAGGCTTCCGACAACACGCGAGCCGAATAATATAGCGCAGCACGCGACCTCGAATTCACAATAAATGATCAAAGTCAGCTGAAAATTGCTTTCTCTTCTCTGGACAAATCATACAATATGCGCAAAAATCACACGTAATAAGTCCACCTATCAGCCAATGGCTGATTTGAACATGGCGTGCTCTCTCGTTACAGAGGTCGGTGCGGGAGGCCGCTATTTGTCTATGCGTGCGCGCGCGATCACACAAAAAACCGCGCATTCGTAGAAAAAAAAATGCACAAGGTCACAAGGTGCACATGACCCTGCCACCCCTTCCTGCTTAGCTTCCAGCGCTTTCGTCAAGACGAGAGAAGAGAGATTGCAGCATGCGACAAACCTTTGTAACTCCACACACACTGGACGGCTTCTTACAACTTTTGCAGCGTTGAATTCGTCAGGCAATAAGCTCTCCCAGTTAATTCTTTCCATGATTACATGAAAAAGTGTTTTAGAGCCCGTTTAAAGAAGCGGACGCCTAGCCAGTCTACTCCCGGAACACAACAACATGACTGACGACGAAGCAGGCATGCCGATGGACATTGCCACGGCATCAACAAGTGCCACAGCCTAGAAACAAGCTGGCCACAAACCAAGACAACTTCACTGCTGTGCGCCTGAACTACGCATATTTTCAGGTAAAACATATTGTTAGGGGAGAAGGCGTCTGAGAAATAACTTTACTTTAGGTAAGCAGGGAGGCATACAACATGGAGCCCAGTCTGCACCAGCTCACCCTAAACATAGTCCTCTTTCCTATAATGTTCATTTGTGGCACCCCGTAGCATCACCCCCGGCGGCGAAAGCACCGTCTCGGTGCTTGGTTGGTCTGAGTACTATCGCTTTAGCCGAGTGACGTGAACAACGTCAGGACACGATCGCGCGCTGGTGGCGTCAAGAGGTTCAATTTCACATGTCACGTCGGTGACTAGGCGCACCACACGGTACGGACTAGAGATCACATCGCGGGCACATTCTGATGTGTGGTTAATGACAAGAAGGAGCGTGTCAAAAGGCAGCGTGGGTTCTCTCCGTACAGGAGAAAAAATGGCGACGAACCTGCGGTATCATGCCGGGACGCAATATGGACAAATCCCACAAACGCGAGGGCGGAGTCCCAGTCACGATGGTCGGAAGAAACGTACATGGCGAGCATGTCCGTGGTGGTTCTATTAAGCCGCTCTGTGATTACGTTGGTTTGAGGTTGATAAACCGTTGTGAACTTGTGCTTTATAGCGCAAGAGTGTAAAATGTCTGGATAACTTGTGATAAAAAGGTAGCGACCACGATCAGTAAGCAATTGCCGAGGAGTGCCATCGTGTAGTATAAGGTGTTTCAGGAGGAAGTCAGCGACGTCGGTCGCACAACTGGTAGGAAGGGCCCGCGTGATGGCATACCGAAAGATGTAATTTGCTGCGGCTGCTATCCACTTGTTTGTGCTGGCCGATAAAGGGAATGGTCCTAGTATGTCAACACCTACCCTATAAATGGAATCTGAATGGGCTGAAGGCGTCCCGCTGGAAGGGTGGCAGGTTTTTTTGCGGTGTTGACAGCATTTGCATGAGGCGACGTAACGGCAGACGGATCGTTAAATGCCGGGCCAAAAAAAAGCCATGTCGAACGCGGTAATAAGTTCTTGAAACTTCCAGGTGACCAGCTGTCGTAATATTGTGCAACTGTGAGAGGACAGTCTGACGCATATGTTGTGGTATGACCAACAGCAGCTGAGGTCCGTAAGGATGCATGCTGCAGCGAATAATATGCCATCTTTCAGCAGGAACATACGGAGAGACGGAGGAGTTGTGGGACCACCAATCCGAAGGATTATATCTCTGAGGTGATGATCATGGAGTTGCTGATCTGCGATGTTGCTGAACGCGGAAAGTGCCAAAACGCAAGTAGACTCATCGCTCTTCGAAAGGTCTGCTGGGTCTACTCGATGACGCGGCAAGTAATTAGCATCCTCATGGTGCCAGCCTGATTTGTAGACAACCGTGTAGAAATATTTCTGTAGCCGTAGAGCCCCCCGGCCAAGACGTCCACTAGGACCTTTTAAGGACGACAAGCAGCATAAGGCGCGGTGATCAGTGACAACGGTGACCAGGCGTCCATAGAAATACGGCCAAAATTTAGCCACTACCCAGACGAGCGCGATGCATTCGCGTTCTCTGGTAGATTATTTCCCTTTGCTGGCGATAAAAGACGGCTAGCGTATGCAATAACGCGCTTGCAGCCATGCTGTCGTTGTGCCAAACGGCTCCGATTCCGTAGCCGCTGGCATCGGTACGCACTTCCGTTGGAGCACATATATCAAAGTGGCCGAGAATCGGTGGCGTCGTAAGTCTGGTCGTCAGCTCAACGGATGCTCTGGCTTGTTCACGTCCCCACACAAAAGTCACATTTTTTTAGTAGCTCTGTGAGCGGGCGTGCGACGCCAGTGAAATTCCGCATAAATATACGAAAGTAAGAACAGAAGCCCACAAAGCTTCCGACGTCATTCGAAGAGGTCGGCACAGGGAAATCTTTGACGGCGCGGACCTTCTCAGGATCGGAACGAACACCAGAAGAATCAACAAGGTGTCCAAGAACAGTGAGCTTCCAGCGGCCGAAGTGACATTTCGACGAGTTTAGCTGGAGTCCTGATTTGCGGAAGACCGAAAAAAGTGTTGAGAGATGCTCGAGGTGAGCTTAGAAAGTTGGCGAAAAAACAATGACGTCATCAAAGATAGCATAAGCAGATTGACTACTTGAAACCGTGAAGAAGAGCGTCCATCATTCGTTCT